ATTTATGGCACAAAAGGACAAGTTCTTCTAACATCTTCAATGTGAGCCTCGGAATTCAATAAGAGGAACATGCCTGATGTGTCTGTCTTCACTTGTAGCCAACTTCTTAGCTGAGATGACTGTGAGAAGGACCCGATCATGTGACGGGCATTGGCTAATAAGAATTGAGATATCTGAGAGAGCCATGCAAGTGAGAGGTGCTTCGGAGCACGCAGCCAGAGGAAGGGAATTATAATTATAATTATTATATTCAGCCCAAGGGCACAACGGCCACTTTGGCCGCCAAAGACATGGATTTTTTAGGGGCCATTACACCACAAAAGGGGGATGCCGCCGGAAATTCGAGGCCTGGTGAGAATATTATCAAGTGTGTTATTACAGTGCCACAGCCCATTCAGGGATTTTATTCAACCATGGGGAAAAAGAGCTACAGGCTGCCACCCTGTCTCTCCTCACTCTACTCCCTGTGTGTTACAGATATGTATCAGTTCACCGTGGGGTTAACCATGACAGGGAAGGGCGGGTTGACGTCATCACTATGGAGACAGAGTCCACCCCTGTTTTAGGACCTTTAGTGAGCAGGAAATTGAGATTCCCAGGAAGCACACTCTGAGCCAGTGTTATACGAGGGGTGCTCGTGATTGCTTGTGTGCGTGTGTGGGAAGAATGGAAGGTATATGTTAGTGACTAACAAAGATAGCCTAGATGCTGAGTGGATGGTAGGAGGAGAGGAGGAGGGATTGGGTGAGGGCCTTGTGTGTGACACGGCAGTGCCCTGTGTGTGACACGGCAGTGCCCTGTGTGTGACACGGCAGTGCCCTGTGTGTGACACGGCAGTGCCCTGTGTGTGACCGTGGTAAAGCTCTCCCCCCGCTGGGCACTCACTGTTTGAATCAACGTTGTTTCCACATGGAATCAACATTGAATTGAAGTCTGTACCCAATGGGCTCTGCCCTGCCTCTCCCACCGTCCTCCACTGTGTGGTAGTAGCAGGGGGCTGTGGCAGCGCTTCACTTCGCTGAGAGGTGCTGTCCTCTACAGCTGCCAGTCCCGATGCCCGCAGCGCCACACAGACCTGTCAGCTCACCAGAGAAAGGAGAGAGAGAGAGAGAGAGGCCTTAGCATGGCATGCCGCACAAGACTGGGACAGACTAGGTAGAGTGGGACAGAGTGGGACAGACTGGTTGGAGTGGGACAGAGTGGGACAGACTAGGTTAGTATTAGCAAGTGGGACAGAAATGGGACAGAAATAGTTGGAAGTGGCGACAGCAGTGGGGAAAAGAGTGGGGACAGACTAGGTGAGTGGTTTAGAGTGGGACAGTTTAGAGTGGGACCGAATGGATTGGAGTTAGTGGGACAGGTGGGACGACTAGGTAGAGTGGGCACAGAGTGGGACGGATGGTGGGAGGGGAAGAGTGGGGACACAGACACCGACTAGGTCGAGTGAGGACAGAATGGACAGAATAGTTGAGTGGGACCGCGTGGGACGACTAGGTAGATAGAGGGGGACAGAACGTTGGGGGGTAAGTGGGGGGGACACCAGCAAGATAGGGGTAGATAGAGTGGGTGAGTGGGGACCGAGAAGGGGAATGGGAAGAATAGTTGGATGGGACCGCAGTGTGGACAGACTAGGTGAGTGGGACAGAATGGTGTGGACAGTTGGGACAGACAGGTGGGGACAGAATAGGTTGAGAGTGGACAGAGTGGGGACAGACGGGTTGGAAGTGGGACAGACAGCAGAAGTGGGGACAGATAGGTAGAGTGGTTGGGTGACACAGAGGGGCCAAGGGACAGGTTGGAGTGGGGACCAGAGTGGGACAAGACTACGGTTAGTAGAGTGGTGGGACGATGGGACAGAATGGCTGGAAGTGGGAAAGAGTGGACAGACTGGATGGATAGTAGAGTGGGGACAGGCAGATGGTTGGTGGAGTGGGACGACTTAGAGTAGAGTGGAGACAGAAAGGATTTAGAAGTGGGTGTGTATTTGTGTAGGTCTATGTCAGCTTGTTTTATTGACAGGATACTGCGAAGCATCAGAAGCAACTGGTCTGCATTACCTCTGTAGGAACGGCTAAGGAAAGGAAAAAACGCATTACCTCTCGTAGGGAAAAGGCTACGGAACGATTACTCTCGGTAGGGAAAGGTAAGGAAAAACGGAAAAAGCGAGTACCAAAATGTATATGGGAGAGCTATGCGCATGTCCTGCACCATATTCACTGCCTGCATCCTCTTTTCATCACGGATGGCATTGATTTTAATGACTCCACATTAAAAGTTAGATCCATATCAGAGCATTCCTAATATCTTATCACGCTTCCTCTCTGGTTTTGTATTGTTTTTTGTTAATTTTTCTTCCCTCAATATGGTGCCACCATGACAGGTCTGATTATCTGGAACTACATTAGACCTCTGTATTTATGTCGCAATGCCATAAAGTGCCAGCAGGTGGGGCTATTGTTGGATTTTATTGATTATTCTCTACTAAGATAAGGACGCGAGGACAGCCACGTGAAACGGTGAACCCGGATCACTTTGCAGTAACACAGGAGGTTGCGTGCTTCACCAGTAATACCAAGTTCTGCTCTAAAAATAACACATATTTATTAGGCCCATTTATTAAAGCTCAGCCCTTACACAGTTCTCATTCTAGGTAGTACAGAAATGCTGAAGAGTGGTTAACGTAAAACAGAAACTTATTCGGTACTAGACACTCCACAAACCGTGTTGTTGCCTGCCTTGTGGCTTGCGGGGTGTCTGTGTGTGTCGTGGGATGTGTGTATGTGTGTGGTTTGTGTGTGGGTGTGTGTGTGTGTGTTGTGGTGTGTGTGTGTGTGAACTGGCCGTGGGGGGATAAAGCACTCCTTTCCCCCAATATCCTGTTTTCCTTTGTTTACTCCACATTTGGTTCGGTGTTTTCCACTCAGGGGGGAAACAGACAGAAAGGAGTTTAGTTGGGTGTTTCTATCAATCATTTTATGGGGGGTTAGGTGTTCCACTCAGGAAACAGACAGGGTTGTTATAGTGTGTTTTTTCTTACTCATCATTATGGGGTTCTGTGTTTTTCAACTCAGGAAACAGAGGAGTGAGGGGGAAAGGAGGCAGGGGAGAACCAAACCAAGCAAGCCAACGAAGGTAAGGAAAAGAACACCAGGAAAACGACAAAAAAAAGGTACGTAAATAAAGAAACGAAAAGAAAGAAGGGAAGGAAGTACACCAATAAATGAAGGTAAAAAAGAAGGACCGTACAAGACACAAAAAGCAACAGGGGCCGAAAGAAATGACAAGCAAAAGAAAGAAGGAAGGACATAGACAACTAAAACTGCTTTCATACTCCACCCCCTCACTTTCTGCCATGCATCCACCCCCCCTTCACTCCTTCCTTCCCTACAGACCTGCCCCCTCAGACGTGTTCCTCACTTGTTTTTTCTGTGGGACGATAACACTGTAGTATATATAAACTTATAACCCACGGTATAGAGCGAGGATATGTATGATATTATATCTAGTAGATATATCGCGCTCTATATATCTATAGCTCGATAGCTATATATTCTCGATCTATCTCTCTCTCTCTCTCGCTATATATATCTGCATCTCTCATCTCTCTCTCTATATATATCTCTCTTCTCTCATCTCTCTATCTATCTACCTATCTCTCTATCTCCTCTATCTATCTATCTCTACTCTCGCTCTATCTCTCTCTCTCTCTCTCTATCCCTTCTCTCATCTCCTCCTCTCTCTCTCTCTCTCTTCTTCTCTCCTTTCCTTTAGAGGGAACCCTTGTATGTAAACCTGACAGAACAGACATTGTTCTCTTTGTGTCTCCTTCCTTTGAGCGGTTGCTGGGCAAACAGCAAGAAAAACAGCAGAAATTGATGAACAACGAAACAGAGGATACTAAGAAATAGAAAGAGAGAGGAGTCTAATTTATAACCGGTGTCAAGTCGTTCGGAGAGAGAGAGAGAGATTGGAGAGAGAGAGACGATGGGAGATTGACGAGGGAGAGAGAGAGGAGACGATCTTCGAGGTGGAGAGAGACAGAGTGAGGAGGAGAAAGGAGAGAGAGGAGAGAGGGAGAGAGAGAGAGAGAGAGGGTTTAGTTGATGGGTGGCCAGTGTATATGCCAACCTGTTACTTTTCCTTAGGGAAATTTCAAAGTTTACTTTATTGCCTTCTAAGAGTGTGCTTCAGGAGAATCTCAATTGTACTGCTCACTAACGTACCTTAAAAAACAGGCGGTGGGGTCTATGTCTGTCTCCATAGTGATGGACGTCATCCCCCGACCTTTCCCTGTCATGGTTAACCCCACGGTGTAATGAGATACATATTGAACTGATACTATCTGTAACACACAGGGAGTAGAGTGGGAGTTAAGGAGGAAGGAGAGAGACAGGGTGGCCAGCCTGTAGCCCCTCTTTTTCCCCCCTGGTTGAATAAAATCCCAGAAAATGGGGCTGTTGTACTGTAAGAAACCCTCTGATACCCCAACAAGCTTTTTTAAACATTTGCCATGACAGGTTGGATTTTGAACCAGAGGAGGGCAGACGCCGACCGACTGTCCCATGATCAGTGTGGACTACACATACAAGAGAGTGAACTAAGAGAGTGAAAACGAAATCGGATAGTAGCGAGAGAGGGATCCTCCCCGGACTAAGAAGAGACAGAGAAAAAGATCAAGAGACCGAGGAGAGGAGAGAGAGGAGGAGAAGAGAGACCGACAGACTCGGGAGACTGCGAGCAGAGACGCGGGAAAGGCATCATAATTAGAACGGGCGACTTTCGAGAGGAGGAGAGGGGAGTAGTCAGAGCGTAGCGGGAATTGTACTGCAGCAGGAGAGAGAGAGATGACTTCGAGAGCCGAGTGAGAGAGGGATGATAGAGATTACGAGTGAGAGAAGCCGATGCATAGTTGGAGACTAGAGCGGGATCATTAGAGGCGTTTAGTAGGGGGATTTTTGGCGACGGGATTTAGATAAGCGGCTGTGCATTAGAGAGCGAGTATGGCGATAATAGTGAGAGAGCAGGGGATCGTGAGAGAGAGCAGAGGAGCGGGGATGATAGAGAGAGGCAGAGGGATAGAGCTAGGATAGGAGAGAGACGGGATGAGGGATCAGGGGATAGATGAGGAGAGAAGAGGACAGAGGAAGAATGACGAGAGGGAGAGAGAGATGAGCGAGAGGAGAGAGAGAGAGAGAGAGAGATGAGAGAGAGAGAGAGGGAGAGCTGGGAGGAGAGAGAGAGCGAGAGAGAGAGTGAGGTGAGAGAGAGAGAGAGAGGGGCGTGGTGTTACAGGGTCTAGCAGAGAAAGGAAAGCAAGCCAGTGGGCCCTCCCCCTGAAGCAGTAAGGAAAGCTGTGGAAGTCCTGGAGTACCATATGCTAACGGGGAAAGGAAAGTTAATGAAAAGGTCACACACTGAAGAAGCGATGGGGACACTATCCCACACAGAGAAATGAAGCAAAAGGTCCAATACCCTGTACATTTACACATATACACACGCACATACATAAAATAAAAGTATACAGCTGACCCTGTCCACAAACAGACAGAAATGAAAGTGAACACCCCCTACCACTTCCCTATGGTGAGGCATGAAGGGGACGCAAGGAGAAAATTACTTGACAAAGAAAAGGAACTGGGAGAGAGAAAAATACAGGACTTGAACTCAAACACGTGCCAGGTAGGGTATACAGAGAGAGAAGCTGAGGAGAGAGAAAGCAGAGAGGAAGAGAGAGTGAAAGAAAGATAAGTAGAGGAGAGGGATAGAGAGAGACAGAGAGAGAGATGAGGAGAGAGACCCGAGAGAGGACGAGAGATTGAGTACGAGAGACGAGAGGAAAAGAGAGGCGAGGAGATGAGAGAGTACAACCCGAATTCCCGCAGGAGAAGAGTGATGCACCGAGAAAAGAAGGACGAAGAGAGAGAGAGACGGAGAGATCTTTGAGAGAACGAGAAGACCTGGAGACTGGAGAGAGAGAGAGGAGAGAGAGAGAGAGAGAGAGAGAGAACAGCGAGAGAGAGAGAGGAGGAGGGAGAGAGAGAGAGAAGAGAGAGAGAGAGAGAGAGAGAGAGAGAGAGAAGCAGAGGGAGTGAATCCCTTTCCTGGGCCCAGCAGAGCAGAGCAGAGAAGAGGTATCTGTGACATTCTACTGCTCTCTGAGACCTGCTGGGCTGGTTTCTGTGGGGTCATTAAAATTCCAGCTCCTGCACCTTCACCTTCACCACAGCTACATGTTGGCTCTTGTCCACCGGCCTCTCTCTCTCTCTCTCTCTCTCTCTCTCTCTCTCTCTCCTTCTCTACTCTCAAAGCTCAGCTCACTTTCTCCATGTGTCTATCCTCCTCCTCTCACATTCTATTAACTATTGCTATGACAGGAGTAAACAAATGGAAAAAATATTGCAAAATCAAACAGGTCAATATTGAATTTCTCTCTCTTTCTGCTTTTTTTGTCTTTCACTCTCTTTCTCTCACTCCCTTTTCGGTTAGTGTCTTTCTCTCTGCCTCACTCTCTTTCTCTCACTCCCTTTTCGGTTAGTGTCTTTCTCTCTGCCTCACTCTCTTTCTCTCACTCCCTTTTCGGTTAGTGTCTTTCTCTCTGCCTCACTCTCTTTCTCTCACTCCCTTTTCGGTTAGTGTCTTTCTCTCTGCCTCACTCTCTTTCTCTCACTCCCTTTTCGGTTAGTGTCTTTCTCTCTGCCTCACTCTCTTTCTCGCGCCCCCAACCTTGTGTTTATCTCGCTCTCCCTTTTTTCTCCTTCTCCACTCAGGCATGTACTGTCACCTTCATTCAAATCTCTGAGGGAGAAACAAATAAATAAAAGTCAAACCTGTCTCTACTCATCACAACACCCTTTTACTAAACAACAACATCCATCTGCAGGCAGCACTGGCTCCCTGAACTCATGCACTTGAGATTCTCTGCAGCTAGTAGAGTGGAGAGGAATGGTTGGTTGGTTTTCAAGAGGTCTTGAATGACCCTTACCCCCTCCACACATACACAAATACATCCATACACATACTCTTTATCTCTCCCTCAGTGGCACCCCTATAGCAAAGAGCCTGTATTTGATCAGCACCAGTCACCCCTATAGCAAAGAGCCTGTATTTGATCAGCACCAGTCACCATTATATCAAAGAGCCTGTATTTGATCAGCACCAGTCACCCCTATAGCAAAGAGCCTGTATTTGATCAGCACCAGTCACCCCTATAGCAAAGAGCCTGTATTTGATCAGCACCAGTCACCCCTATAGCAAAGAGCCTGTATTTGATCAGCACCAGTCACCCCTATAGCAAAGAGCCTGTATTTGATCAGCACCAGTCACCCCAATAGCAAAGAGCCTGTATTTGATCAGCACCAGTCACCCCTATAGCAAAGAGCCTGTATTTGATCAGCACCAGTCACCCCTATAGCAAAGAGCCTGTATTTGATCAGCACCAGTGTGTGTATTCTAGCTCAAGTGCAGGACATTGTTTCCTACTTCCTGCCCTCTTAAGCCTCTGCCTTTTGTTTTGGGTGATCCTCATCCCCCCCCTCACTCACCCCTTTGACCTTTCTCCCCCTCTCATCCCCCTCTATCCCCACCTCCCCCTCTCATCCCCCTTGGGGTGAAGGAGAGAGACCTGGCTATCCCTAGAACTTCAGAGTATGTAAGTGTTACCTTGGGGCGAAGCAGAGAGAGACTTCCGTGAACTGGAATTCTCTAAAGGGGAAGGTTAACAATAAACGTATGGCAGAAAAAGAGAATTGATGCATATACAAATGTGGTACAGGATCAAGATACAAATGTGTAGCAATATGTTTACTGCTGAGATAGTGATATGCTGTGTATATAATACCCTGTGCTGATGAATTCATTATCACAAATGGAAGATCTCATATTTCATATTTCAGAGCAACACTTCATTTCCCATTTTAGTGACTCTGTCAAAGTTATGTGTTTCCATGTAACCTGACTGACTAGCTCAGTGTGTGTGTGTGTGTGTGTGTGTGTGTGTGTGTGTGTGTGTGTGTGTGTGTGTGTGTGTGTGTGTGTGTGTGTGTGTGTGTGTGTGTGTGTGTGTGTGTGTGTGTGTGTGTGTGTGTTTGTGTGTGTGTGTTACTGAGTGCTTGTGTTGGTGAGTGAGGGTATACCCTTTCAGTGATCCACACATTCCTAACAGGGTGAATAGATCTGAGGACTGCATGTGGTGCTGCCATGGGTAAAGGGAACCTCCAACAGGGCCTGGTTCCTGGATGGTGTCTCCTATAGCATCTTCTGCCATTACTATCAATAACACAGTCTCAGATGTTCCCCCATCCCCCAACAGACACACACACTGCTCCTGGACTCACGTTAGGCATGGTGAGTGAGGCCTCATTAGGGTTCAAAGGTACATCTAACCGTCATCTTTGATGCATAGACAGTGGCACCAGCTTTTTCAACCATCGCTTTATCGCTCACAACCTGCGTGACAAAGTTCACACTGACTCAGGTAAGATAATATTTCCACCTGCCGTGACTGTTACTAGTGGAAACATTGTGGAAACAAACAGTAGTTGAAAATGTCCTGCCTTTTCCCGGGTCAGACAAGGTCACCATGACCCATTCGCCTCATCCATGGATGCCTGATGAAGACCTAAGGGTGGAAACATTGTTATAAATAAATCACCTGGGAGCATGAGAAGCAGTATGCAGCGTTTTCCTTTCTGTTTTCCATGAATTCACCTACAACTCCAGCACCGGCAAAAAGTACCTAGATGTGCGCATGTTCTTCAGCTTTTGTCCATTCACCTCATGAGTCATGGACTACCGCACGCAACTCAAGACTTCACTCTCAACTCAAATCAGATTATACCATTATAATACAAATAAATGGTAGGATGTGTAGAGGGAAAATTATAACGAAAGTGTTTCATCCATAACACATTAGCCCAATAAAAGCGTATTAGCTCTGGATGACAGCATCTTCTAAAATGTACATGTAAAATGTAAAAATTGTAAGTTGGGTGGGAGATACACTTTGTGTGTCAGACGTGTAGGCAGTCAAACATTTTTTTTCATAAGCCCAATATAGAGACATGTCAGAACGCAAACAACAGGATGTTACGCATGTTGGTTTGGGTGGAATGCTGGAAACATGCAGGCCTAGGTGTGTAACCAACCAATCATTCACTTGCGTCACCTCCACGCCATTAAAAGGTGAGACAGAGCTGTAATTGATGTATTATGGAATCTGTTGACAGCATTGAAGGCATCGTCTGTCTGAGCGGTTGTTTTACACGCTCTGTTAAATTGTTGCTCTGTTAAAGGAAAAATCCACCCAAAACCACTCATTCCATTAATTTACAGTGTTAAATAACACTAATATGTGAGAACAAAATGTATTGTGCACAAATGTTTCATTTTGCCGTTATAATAAGGTTGGTAGCAACATGGAAAATCGTTGTGGAAATCTGTTGCAGCTCAAGTCGACTACAAAATCCACAATGCAATGCTCTCTCTATGGGCTGGCTGGCTAGCTAGATAGGTAGCTAGCTAGCTAGCAAACATACTGTAGCTACACACAATAATACCAAAGACAATATCAGCATGTAAAGTAGCTAGTTAGCTGTAAAATCACCTAAACAAACTGCACTATCAATTTAGGAGTCTACAATCTCCTGCAGATCGATGTCGCTCACAGAGTGGAGTCTAACATTCGCAACTGCAGATATACTTTTGAGGAGGTGGGAAACATTGCCCATGCTATGTCAATGGGCCGCGCGGTGCATTCTGGGCGATTATGGGACAAGGAGCACTCTCCTTCAAGGAGTGAATAAGAGTCTATTTTGGCGCTAGCTCAAAAACCCAACATTAGCACAAATTTTGTCAACAAGAAGTACAACATTACATATCTTTTCCGAAATGTGAGATAATTAACTTGCTATCTGTAGTATCGTATAGCTTTGGAATCATGACATTACGTACTTTTGAGGAAAATAGGCCGATTAGTTTAGCAACCGCATGATGCAGCATGACAACGTGAACGTGATTGGTCAACAGTCTGCTGGGTGGGGCGTTACACGTTCCTTCATCCATTGGATTCTCCTTTCTATAATATCTCTGGCAACAGCACCATGCAATGCACCCTGGACTAACGAGGCAGACACATAGGAAGAATGTGCTAGACCCTCTGTTAAATTACACATTTCTCGAGGTTGGAATATCGCAGAAATATGATCAATGGCTCATTCGAGAGAAGACATCCTCCCGACTTATGACATCGGCCAGTATTGAAATCTGAAATGAATGATAGACGTTTTCGCGATCTAAAAGTCGTATTCCTATTAACTTCCAGTCTAGTGAGAGCGACTTTATCACGGTGCTACGTCATACCGGCCGGATTTCTGCCTGCTTGAACGCCAATAACTCAGATACACATGAAAACATGAAATTACCCAGGGAATCGATAGAACATCACTCAGAGATGCACAAAATCAATTTAACATTCAAAATGGGTAAACCTTGCCTTTAAGTGCAAGGTGTGTGTGTGAGAGAGAGAGAGCGAGAGCGAGAGCGAGAGAGGGGGGGGGGGCAGTCAGACGCGAGAGAGAGATGGACAGATAGACAGACAGAGAGCGAGAGAGACAGAGAGCGAGGGACAGACAGACAGACAGACAGACAGACAGACAGACAGACAGACAGACAGACAGACAGACAGACAGACAGACAGACAGACAGACAGGCAGACACAGAGAGAGAGAGAGAGAGAGAGCGAGAGAGAGTTCTGAGTTTCCAGTTGTTTTGAGCGCGGCAGAAATCATGCTGATTGACACCATGGCCAATGTTGAATGTTGGAAAAGAGACCCTTAAACCCAGACTTGGACCACGCACCCTCTCCACTGAATAGAAGGCTAGTGATTGCTTTTGCAATGCTTTCAGTTAGCTACTGATTCCTTCCAAACCACTCATTGTTGAATTTGTGATTTCCAACTTGTTGTGTAATGTTTATGTCCAATGGCCGATGAGCACCGATACATTTTATCTATAATTTCTCTTCATTATTTATCTTCATATGTCAAGGATTAAAAAGGATTTGCCAGTAGATTGTCGACTGGATTCATGATGATGACTGCTAGCTAAGATTTAGAAAGTATGATGTTGACATGATCAGTCCAATCAAAGTTGCTGTAGATATAACATGATTTGACGTCATTTATCTGTGGCCAATGACCTTCAGCCTTCTTGGATGGGCACTTCCTATGTAACTCTATGGCAGCACCCAAGGGGCTTGAATTTTCAAGCTCTACCCTTAGATTTGGCAGTGACATAATGTCCCCATGAGTGACAGAACACTGAGCCAATCATGGCGCAACTAGAGAACATTACCAACCCCTACGCTCCGTATTTTCTGCCGGTTGCCCCACCACCACCACCACCACCACCACAGAAAGCGCTGAAAAACCTGCATTTTGGAGCTGCCTTACTCAAGAAAGCAAAAGAAAGAGACCAAGTTTGTATGCGGCTTTATTAACTCAAAAAAAAAAAAATTAGATATATATATATATATATATATATATATATATATATATATATATATATATATATATATATATATATTTAGCTAGAAAGGTGGGGCTCAAAACAGGTGGGGCTCTACCTGCCACTGACATTTAGTAATTGCTTGCTTTTCTAAAGTCTACCAACCTTGCCAACAGACATGCCAGCTAAGATAGTTAAGACAAGCTAGCGACTCTAACGTGATTGATAGCCTGAAATGGCTTCTTGGTAGCTAGTTGTGAGGTTGGGGTATTGGGCACCTATCTGGGCTGGCTAAAGACAACTTCATAACATTGCTAGATGGCTAGTAGAATTACAGACAAACAAAATATTAAATGAACATTTGAGATTTTTTTAAACCGGGCATGATGCCTCTGACTCCGTGTCCTGTCACAGGGCAATTTACCGCACGTGTTTGTTTTATCCCCTCCTCCTATAGGCCTACTGTAAATGCTGTTTGAATATGCAAACAACCAGAAACCCGTCACAGTTAGTCAATCAGTATGACAAAAACCTAACTTCTGGTAAAACAAGGACAGGAGGGGTGAGACCATCTATTTTACTGTAAACACATGTAGTACGCCTAATATTACTGGTCAGGCGTCTAACGTTTCCATACACAGCACAACTTTCTGCTTTACCTCCCGCTATGACACACCAGTTTCGTTTATTCCTATTCCTATTCCTACTCCCCTCTCTCTCTCTCTCTCTCTCTCTTAATTTCAATTTTCAATTTAAGGGCTTTATTGGCATGGGAAACGTATGTTAACATTGCCCAAGCAAGTGAAGTAGATAGTAAACAAAAGTGAAATAAACAATAAATATTAACAGTAAACATTACACTCAGAAGTTTCAAAAGAATAAAGAGACGTCTCTCTCTCTCTCTCTCTCTCTCTTCTCCTTTGATGCCAAGTCCCGCCCCTCGACCGGGGTGCAGGAGCGGCGTGAGTGGCTGAGAGGACTAAGCGTTCCCTGCAACAGCTGCCTCTATCCACCACAGGAGTCGGCGGAACTGAGCCCAGTGGAGAACGACAGACAGCCGGTTTGTCACGCATTGCCACAGCACCGAACCATCAGGCCAAACGCAGATCGCTTAGGACGACATATCTATACATTCATGACCGGACAAGGATTACGTTGCGAAGAAGATAACAGCACGGAAGAGAGAGAACGGATTATACGCAGGTAGGAATAGGATATGTCTGGACGCTCTGTATTGTAAACGGGCTCAGTGAAAGCAACGCTATAATAAATCACCCAGCCAGCCGGGGCACCAATGCAGTATGTGTGTGTTGGAGATCGACTATATTGCAGTCATTTTGCGCAGCGCAACAGATCTTCATGACACTTGGAAGGGAGTTATTACAATTTAGAAATTATATAGCATTCTGCTATGTTGCGCAGCTCGGCTGCAATGTAGTTGATGTCAAACACCCACCGTGTTTTCTCGGATTAAACCTGCTGAAATGCGGGTATTTGCGCATAAACCTAATGTGTATGCGGAAATCTGTGCGTAATAACACCGTGTCATTCTAATCGTAGGCTAGGTTAAGACCTATAGGTATTTATATAGAAGATGAAGGGCTTTTGGTGATCGTTACAACCAGCGAATGCATTGGCTGGGTCGAGTCTTTGTGCTGTTCGCCGCAGTCCCCCTTCCCCCCTTCCCCCGGTGTGTGTCTGTGGATCGCTTTAACTGAGGTCGTAGGCCTACGTGCAAACTTGCTCGAGCAGCGATTTGTAACTTGCACGTATACCGTAGACCCCGTGTATCCGCCTCCGGTGATCAAAATACTCTTTCGATAACGTTTTGTTACAGTTGGAAAAGGATTGTATCGCGCAGTAGGCAATAGCCTACGCACTGTAGCTGCATCATGACGCTCGTCATTGACTGAAAATAATAAAAGCAAACTGTTTCTAAATTTGGGAGACATTTTCCCACATAGTTTCTATTCAGTCTAGCTTATAGACTTAAGGGCTATGGTGAGCAGGACACTTCCCGTTTCACTAGTTTTATCTTTTTAGCATTACCCAGGAAAATAAACGATTGGTTTCCAAGATTAGGTTTATTGTTTATGAGCCAATAAAACGCAATGGTTATTAACTCTGTCAAGGGGCTGACAAACACGTTTGTTATCTAATGACACATGCCCAGGACTTTCGAAACCTATGAGGCATAAGTTACATTTTAGGTGTGTTATTTCTCTCACACGCTCTCTCTCTCTTATCATTTATTTCCTTCTCTTTCAGGACTGTCGGGTTTTAGGAGTGCCCCTGGCCACCATGGATAAAACTTTGCATATCTTGCAGAAACCGACAGCCTCAACCGATAAGGTCCTGGACGGTGGAACGGGACTCGCTCTGGATATGAGTATGAGAGACCGGGAATTCACGGAACAATCGATTAGACTTACCGATAAAATCCCGTTAGTGAAGCCCTATTTCAAAAAGAAAAAAGGACAGAGGAAACTGGAATCAAAATGCCTCCGTGCGCTCCAGGACCCTATCCTGACCACATTACTGAGTACAGATGCACTTGTTACTGGAGACGGGGTGTTTGTTCCCCGGAACCCTCCGGCAAGGACAGCGGGGAACCTGTGCACTGCGGCGGTGGTCAAACAGGCACGGATTGGTGGGCCTGTGTGCCTGAAAGACTCGGGAGCAACCGGTGTAACGGCTATGATTACCGGCGACACGGACACAGAAATGGCGGACACCGCCGCCGAGTTGGAGGAGACCGAGAGGGGGGTAACCAAGGTGCCGGTAGATCTCCAGCGCGTGACAATAGACACTAACGAGCGCAGATTCCAGCTCAAATGTACCCCTCGGGCACGCGACGTGGTGGCGGCAACCCCCCACACCAGATACCCCTCTAGTAACCCCTCCAAGCCAGGGGGGCAACAAGATGTCGGACCTCTTCGCCTCTAAAGCCTTGCGGGGGCCAGATTGTCTCACCATCAAAGACAGTATGAACACCCCCAGTCTTCAGGCCGACAAAAGCGAGATATTTCAGGATAAAAGCGAAGAGGCCTCCCTGGATCTAGTTTTTGAACTGCTAACCCAGCTCCAGTACCACACACACCAAGCCGACGCGGTTTCGATCTGCGTGGATTTCCTGCAGGGATTGTGTGTGTACGGGAGTGACTGTGCTTACCACCATACTGTGCTGCCCTACCACTGGCAGATCCGCAGGAGTGATACTCAAAGCTGGCAAAGCGTGGCGGATGATTCGCAGGAACAGTTGGAGAGGCTTTACTGCAATCCGGATCATGATCAAATCAGGCTAAAATTTCAGTAAGTGTTTTTATTTTGTTATAGTGGTTCCTCCTGTTCTACGTTCTGTGTGAAAGTAGCCTAATAGAGCTGAGATTATATTTACAGTATTAAGACAGGAATGCTTTGATATGAGAAAGGTATGCTGTTTGATTGATCTGTTTCAGTATGTGTGTGTGTGTTGTAATGATTAACTGACTGAGTCGTTTTGGTTCCCGACTTCCCGTATCTCAGTTCTTCTTTGGGTGTCATTGTTATGACACGTTTAGTTCCTGCAATAGAGTGAGTGTGCTCTTTCTGCTCCCAAACCTAGCCTTCTCATTGGTTGAAACAGCTCAAACCAGGAAGTGCTGTACCCATGGCAGCTTAGAGCTAGGATCTTGCATGACCTACTGCTGCCTGGTGCGGTCACTGACACGCAGGCACTGGCTGTCTCTCACGCACAAGCGCTTGGCAAGCGCTAGCAGACAGGCATACAAAGTGTGCTCTGGTTCAAGCGATACACACCACATTCACACAATGACACGGTTAGCTATTTGACCACATAAGCACGTGTGTGTGGGTGACTGTGCATGTGTTGTTGATTTTAGGTTTTAAACTGAAACTACATGCAAACCTTCCCACCCACAGGATACACACCTGTCCGTGAGAACCCAAATGCAGCCAAGCTTTTGTTTGATTACGCCTAGAGATATTAGGCTTTGGTGATAGTAACTTAGTATAGTAGTGTTTCCTAAACATTATAAACAGCCATTCTATATACATAGCCAAAATAACGCAGTAACTACCAGTGTATTAACCTATATAATTACTGTGTAACAGACTAGTAAATACATTTAAGAAACCTCTTCTTACATTCTCTCAGAAAGCCAAAGTAGCCATGGTAACTATCGGTATAAAGACAGACTGTAGGACTTTTATTTAAGTTTCAAATACTTTCCCATTAGTTTAAACCTCTATTTAAAAGGTATTTGTGTTCTTCTTTATTTCTTTCTGTTGTGAAGTATTAAACAATCAAATTCTCAGGGAGAATTTCAAACAACGGCCTCCAACACACTCCCGACATGCTCTGAATTTGAATTCACATGTAATAAGCAAGTAAAGCAACGGTACCTACATTTCCAGAGTTGGCCAGATGTACAGCTAGCTTTACTGTAACCGGTCGACCCCTCTTCCCACCCCAACACACACACACACACACACACACACCCCGTGTGATATGGTGTTACCATAGTAACTGAATACAGTTGATAACAGCTGTTATCTGAAGAGCAGCACAGGACAAAACAAGCCTGGCCGTCGACATGGCAACATACTTATTTGACTGCAGCTGCTGTGTGAGAGAGTGAGTGGGAGTGGCCGGTTTCCGAGTCATCGCCCGACGTCCTCAGACTGGATGGACGTCGAATACTGACTTGTATCGCGGGTGACCTGGCTGGGTTTGAGAGAGGGCATGCATGTGTGAGATTGTGAACATGGGACAGCAAGTTAATAATTTATTGTGTGTGTGTTTGTGTGTGTGTTTTATCGTCTCAACGTGTTTGTGTGTTCATGTTTCTATGTCATACAGTATGTGAATGATTTGAGTTTGACTGTATGTCAGTCTGTCACTGTGTGTGAGGCATGGTGCTTTGTGCTGCACTTACCACCCCATTCATTTCTTATGAAGTGTGTGACTGCCTTGCTCAGTTAGCAAGCTAATGTTCGCTAACTAATGAGCAGGTGCACATTATCAAACTGAACCTAACAAAAAAATATTTTAAGAATAAAACTCCTTAGCTATATGTAAAGACTTGCTCTAGAAAATGTCTTATGCAGTTGTATTGTTTGTTACAACCCTTGAGATGAAAGGGGAGTGGATTACACCAGGAAGAGGCCATCTTTGTGGATTACACCAGGAAGAGGCCATCTTTGTGGATTACACCAGGAAGAGGCCATCTTTTTCTTGTCACTTCTGTCGGCTCCCCCACGTGAAGGTTCATGCTCTTTGATTGGCTCATAGCCAAGTTCTCGGCCACTGACGAGCATTAAGATTCTACAAGTAGAAACGGCAGGTTTGTCAGTACGAGGTCGGTACACAGCAGGGACGTCTTCTGTTCTAGCAAGAGAAGGAACAGCCTCCTACTGTGATAGTTCCTATCAGCAGTCAGATTTCTCGGTGTGTCTGTTCCATAATAGAGAACTTAAAGGGATACCAAATATTTTTTTTACTAACCCAAGATAGACCAGAGCCTGTCGTTTCTTTGGGAGCAAATTAATCATAGTGGGCAGAACAAGCACGAGCTAGTGAGATCCTAGTGGCCAAAACTATCTCTAACCTGCTTCATACTGGACATAAAGACATTAAAATAGTATCCACAAGTTCATCTGACTCTGGGGAAGTAGATAAATTGCCTCATTGCCAAAATCCTGAAGAATCAATTTAACATTTCTATTGATACCCTTTTTATGTCTCAACGCCCAAAATCTTAGAACATATCAGACCCTACTAAAATATGTGTATCAATGAACACGATTGTGGAAAATGAATGCGCAGTTTCTGTCACGCGGAGTACCACGTACCGCTAGCAGCATTTTAGCCACAGACTGTCTGGTTTTATAAATGTGCAATGAGCATAAACATACGCATTTATTTAAGGAATTGGCAACTTGTTCTCATTCTGAGAAATAAGCATCTTCTTATCCAGGTAGGCCACTTGATTTCAACATCTAAACAAAGTGACACTGGAGAATGACATTTTTTGATTGGTTTTGAGTTGAGTTCATGACATTTTTGATTGGTTTTGAGTTGAGTTCATGACATTTTTTGATTGGTTTTGAGTTGAGTTCGGACATAGAAACTGCAGGGAGGCATTTGATATGTATAGCTCAAATTTCCAATTGATCTAGTATTGTGTGTGTGTGTGTATGAGGGGTTGGGAGTTCCATCATGGTTGTATGAGACCATAGATGAATCCCATCCATATGATACCTAGGAAGGAAGTACTAACACTAATCCTCTTTTCTCAAGATTTCTCTGGCCAGCTACAGTTACATAGAGAGAGGAATGGAATACTCATCACTTAACACATGATTCACTTTTTACCTACGCTCATCCCCGTGACAGGAATATGTTATGTAATGTGTGTGTGTGTGTGTGTGAGCCTTTTTGTTGGACAGGCCGTAAGCGGTTCACACGTCATTAACTGACCGAGTCACTGAGCACCAAGGGCAGAGTGACCTGACACCAAGGAGTGTGTGATTGCTTTTGTCCATGTGCACAACTGCCTGTGTTTGTGTCTTTGTGCCACTGTCTGTCAGAAAATATGTGTGTGTATGTGAATGTTTCCTTGCGTGTGTTTGCTTCCTTGCGTGTGTGTGTGTGAATGTTTCCTTGAGTGCGTGTGTGTGCTACTTGTTTATGTGTGTGTGAGGAGATAACGTGTCAAACCGCTTATGAAATGATTCACTGGGGGCGAGGTCTGGGCCGTCCTGCCTTTCATGACTCAGCCTCTACCTTTAACTCTCTATCTCTCTGTCTCTCTGTCTCTCTCTCTCTTTGTGTGTGTCTCTGTCTCTGTGTCTCTCTCTCTGTGTCTCTCTCTGTGTCTCTCTCCTCTGTGTCTCTCTCTATATGTCTCTCTCTGTGTTCTATCTTCTTCTCTGTCTCTATCTCTCTCTTCATGGGTTATGCTTCTGTGTCTCTCTATTCTCTCTTGTTGTCTCTCTATCTGTCCTCTCTCTCTCGGGGTGTATATTCTGTGTGTTTGTCCCTATCTATCTGTGATCTCTCTCTCTCTATCTTCTGTTGTCTCTCTCTCTCTGTGTGTCTCTTCTCACTGGTGTGCTCTGTGTCTCTCTCTCTGCTGTGGTCTCTCCCCTGTGGTGGTCTGTGTCTCTCTATCATCTCTGTGCTTCTCTGTTCTTATCTTCTCCTCTCGTATCTATCTATATATCTGTGTTGTCTATCTGTGTCTATCTATCTCTCTGTTTGTTGTCTCTATATCTCTATCGCTCTTCTCTCCTGTGTACTATCCTCTTGTTGTCTTCTCTGTATCTGTGTGTGTCTCTCTCTTTTTTCTTTTTCTATCTGTCTCTTTCTCTCTCTCTATCTGTGTATATCTCTATCTCGCTATGTGACTCTCTCTCTCTGGTTGTGTCTTCTTCTCTCTCTGTTGTTCTCTCTTTTTTCTTCTTGTTCTCTTCTTCTTCGTTGTTACCTCTCTTTGTGTCTCCTCTCTGTTTTGTGTCTCCCCTCTCTGTGTCTCTCTCTCTCTTCTGTCTCTCTCTTCTGTGTCTCTCTCTCTCTTTTTTTTGTGTCTCTCTCTCTCTCTTTTTTTGGTTCTCTCTCTCTTTTTCTCTTCCCCTCTCTCTCTCTTCTCTCTCTTTCTCTCTCTCTCTCTCTTTTCTCTCTCTCTCTCTCTCTTGTTGTGTGGCCTGCCTGTGGTGTTCGTGACCTGCAGGCTTCCGTACGTTATAGAAGCAAATTTTCTATCCTCCTCCTTATCCTTGGATCTCTATTTATATATCCTCCTCCTTATCCCTGGATCTTATTTACATATCCTCCTCCTTATCTCTCTGGCATCTTCTTTTTCATATCCTCCTCCCCATCCCTCTGGCATCTCTCTTTTTTCATCCTTCCCTATCTCTCTGGCATCTCTCTTTTTTCTATCCTCCTCCCTATCCCTCTGGCATCTCTCTTTTTTCGATCCTCCTCCCTATCCCTCTGGCATGTCTCTTTTTCCTATCCTCCTCCCTATCCCTCTGGCATCTCTATTTTACATATCCTCCTCCTTAACCCTCTGGCATCTCTCTTTTTCCTATCCTCCTCCCTATCCCTCTGGCATCTCTCTTTTTCTCTCTCCCCATCCTCAACCTGTCCCTCCTCTCTCCCTCCCTCTCAAACTCTACCTCTCATCAACGTCTCCCCACTGTGTTGACTGAATAACCTGGCCCCATGGAGAACGTTCTAGCATGGCAGAAGAGCACTACGTGTTCAGGAAGATTATGTTGAAATTCTGTGATGGATGGAAGGGAACAATAGAGGGTGATGGGAGTGTGTTGTGGTTTCTTGCTCATTTCTAAAGCTGGGAAACAGAACCAAAACACGACCACGAACAGCATGTACTCTTTCATCTCTATATGAGGAAGTGAGGAATACCCAGTGTGTGTGTGTACACATTGTCCTCCTCAACTAACCAAAGTGCGTTCTTTCTTGTGTGTGTCACTGGGGTGTATGTCGTGGTATAACTTTTGGAGCCTGCCTCAACGTCATTAGGTTCACTGGCTTGTGTGTGTGTGTGTGAGGAGAGAGAGAGCTTGGTATAGGACTGGATTTAGACCCCTCATGTTTTTGCTGTTTGTTCTTTGTCTCTCACACACACATATATACACACACTCTCAGATCTCAGAGACCACAAACCACAGCCGCCCCAGAGGTGTTTTTTTAGGTGTGTGACAGAGTGCCGAGGAAGAGGGCAGGCTAATTAGCAGCGCTTTCCTCCTCTATATTTGAAACACTCCAGGCTTGAACTCATTACAGCTGTTATTTCAACTGCTGTCTGTGTGTGTAAATCAAAACTTCAGTTGACTGTGCCCTGCACTCAAGGAGCTGTGTGTATCATGTGTATGCACGTGTGGTGTGTGTGACCTGATCGTTTCACCGGACACTAATGCGTCACCATGGTTGGCCAGGCGTTGCCCCTGTTGCCATGGTGATCCCAGTACTGCTCTGTGATTGGTTCGTTGGGTATTGTGACCATGACCTTTCTCTCTCTCTCTATCTCTGGTGAGCTATCATTATTATTAGCATTACATAAGGCTTGTGTTGACATAGATAGCACATTTACTGAACTCCAATGACAGTTGACCGCAATGTGTGATATCTGGGGGGTTTGTGTGATGTTGCAAGATAAGTAGGGCGGCAGGTAGCTTAGTGGTTAAGAGCGTAGTGCCAGTAACCGAAAGGTCGCTGGTTCTAATCCCTGAGCCGACTAGGTGAAAAATCTGTCTGTGCCCTTGAGCAAGGCACTTAACCCTAATTGCTCCTGTAAGTCGCTCTGGATAAGAGCGTCTGCTAAATGACTAAAATGTAAATGTAAGTGACTGTTTCTGTGAAGTGAGACTGACCGTGTGTTCTCTTCTCTCCTAGGGGTCGTGTGTTTTCCTTAGATTTCAGTGCCATGCGTGTATGTGACCTGGAGTTCGACCGCGTCAGACGGTTGACCACTCCCTCCAGCCCTGCTGCCCCACCCCTAAACACAAACCCCGCCCCTAATTGCCACACAGTGTGGAAATACTACTGCAGAGACAACTTCGGCTGGAGAGAATACTCTGAGGTGAGTGTCTCTTGTCTCTGTGTGAGTGTCTCTGTGTGAGTGTCTCTGTGTGTCTCTGTGTGAGTGTCTCTGTGTGAGTGTCCTGTGTGTCTCTGTGTGAGTGTCTCTGTGTGAGTGTCTCTGTGTGAGTGAGTGTCTCTGTGTGAGTGAGTGTCTCTGTGTGTGTGAGTGTCTCTGTGTGTGTGAGTGTCTCTGTGTGTGTGAGTGTCTCTGTGTGTGTGTGAGTGTCTCTGTGTGTGTGAGTGTCTCTGTGAGTGTGTGAAGGGTGAGTTAGAGGCTATTAAAGGAGATGTAACAAACTGACAAAGGAGCCCTCACACCAATCAGTTGTCTGCCCACCGTCAGAAGAGAAATACATCAATGAAGGATCATACACACACACAGATTACAGGGTCCAGTCCTAACTGCTGCGTGTGTGTATGTGTTCAGAGTTCTGTGTGCGTGTGTTCAAAGCAGGGGTTGGAACCAAAAGTATTTTCCGATAGTTTAGTTCTGAACAGAACCACAATTTCTATTCATTCTGTTCCACTGTTCCGACCAGCAAAATAATGTTCTGAACCGGTTCGACCCAAAACAAAGTACCGGTTTATATAGTTCCTTTCTGTTCCTTTTTTAACCTGTGAAATCAACAGTTAAAAAAAAACATTTAGCTCATTTAAATGACTTCACCAATCAGTGCGGATAGAGCGGTTTGCTATGGAGCAGGCAAGCTTGGGAGGGGGAGGTAGCCTGTACTTCGAAGGGGGAGGTAGCCTGTACTTCGAGGGGGGAGGGGGAGGTAGCCTATACTTGGGAGGGGAGGTAGCCTGTACTTCGGAGGGGGGAGGGGGAGGTAGCCTATACTTGGGAGGGGAGGTAGCCTATACTTCAGAGGGGGAGGTAGCCTATACTTCAGAGGGGGAGAGGGTAGCCTGTACTTCGGAGGGGGGAGAGGGAGGTTAGCCTGTACTTCGAAGGGGGGAGAGGGAGGTAGCCTGTACTTTGGAGGGGGGAGAGGGAGGTAGCCTGTACTTCGGAGGGGGGAGAGGGAGGTAGCTGTACTTCGAAGGGGAGGTAGCCTGTACTTCGAGGGGGGGAGGGGGGCCTGTACTTCGGAGGGGGGAGGGGGAGGTAGCCTGTACTTCGGAGGGGGGAGGGGGAGGTAGCCTATACTTGGGAGGGGGAGGTAGCCTGTACTTCGAGGGGGGAAGGGGAGGTAGCCTACACTTGGGAGGGGAGGTAGCCTGTAACTTAGGAGGGGTGGAGGGGGAGGGGGAGTAGCCTATACTTGGGGAGGGAGGTAGCCTGTACTTGGAGGGGGGAGGGGGAGGTAGCCTATACTTCGAGGGGGGAGGGGGAGGTAGCCTATACTTCGGAGGGGGGAGAGGGAGGTAGCCTGTACTTCGGAGGGGGGAGGGGGGAGGGGGAGGTAGCCTGTACTTCGGAGGGGGGAGGGGGAGGTAGCCTATACTTCGGAGGGGGGAGGGGGGAGGGGGAGGTAATAATATAATAATAATAATAATATAATAATAATAATATGCCATTTAGCAGACGCTTTTATCCAAAGCAACTTACAGTCATGCGTGCATACATTGTTGTGTATGGGTGGTCCCGGGGATCGAACCCACTACCTTGGCGTTACAAGCGCCGTGCTCTACCAGCTGAGCTACAGAGGACCAGGTAGCCTGTACTTCGGAGGGGGAGGTAGCCTATACTTCGGAGAGGGGGGTAGCCTATACTAAATAAAAACATGCCTGGGACGTAAAATAACATTGTTAACCTCTTCCATTTATTTTGGAATAACGGTTCTATTCCAGACCGGTACAGATCACTTTCGTTCTGATTCTGTTCCCTGAACATTTTCATTATTTTCTGTTCTGTTCCCTGAACCGGTTCCAACTCCTGGTTCAGAGTTCTGTATTTGTTCATGTGTGTATTCCCAGTGCTACAATTCAGTTTTATATGTTTTGTTAGCATGAAACGTTTTAATAGTGCCAAAGCAGATTCAAGTGTTAGTTACACAATATTAAGAGGAACAACTTTGAATCACATTATTATAACTGATGAATAAGTCACCGCTATAAATAATATATCCAACTAAATCTCTCTCTCCCACCACTCCACTCCCCCACTCCCCCCTCCCCCTCCACCTCCCCCTCCCTCCCTCCCCCTCCCCCTCCCCCCCCTCCCTCCCTCCCTCCCCCTCCCCCCTCTCCCTCTCCCTCCAGCCGGTGGTCCGTCTGATAGAGGAGGCTAGTGGTCGTGGTCTGAAGGAGGTCCGTTTCATCACCCTCCAGAACCAGTACATCCTCAACATCAGAGAGGGCTTCCAGCAGAACGCCGTGTTCGGCTTCAGACGCCAGATCAAGAAACGACCGCTCTTCCTCTCCTCCGTTGTCCTCGCGCCACATCTACAGTGAGTACTGGAGTAAAACTACACTGAGTGGACAAAACATTAAGGACACCTGCTCTTTCCATGACATAGACTGACCAGGTGAAACTATGACCCCTTATTGATGTCACCTGTTAAATTCATATCAATCAGTGTAGATGAAGGGGAGGAGACAGGTTAAAGAAGAATTTATACGCCTTGAGACATGGATTGTGTATGTGTGCCATTCAGAGGGTGAATGGGCAAGACAAAATATTTAAGTGCCTTTGAACGGGGTATGGTAGCATTGGAGTCAACATGGGGCCAGCATCCCATTTGAACTCTTTCGACACCCTGTAGAGTCCATGTCCCGACAAACTTGAGGCTGTTCTGAGGGCAAAAGGGAGGGGGGGGGGGGTAACTCAATATTAGGAAGGTGTTCTTAATGTTTTGTACACTCAGTGTATACTAGCTATACATTCACCTTTTAGATCTACTGGGCTAATACAACCACTATACAATAACGCTTTTGATGTAGTCGTTTAGCTTTAGCACACAGTCTTATCCAGAACTCCCCATGAGCAATCTCCCACTTGTGGGATGGAAATGTCTGATTTGAAAGTTGATTTTGATGGTGAACTGTCCTGTTCACATTTACATAGCATAGTACACTGGAGCCTGCTGCTACCAAAATAACTTGTCTTGTATGGATGGTACCATCGCACAGCACGCTGTGGTTGGACATGATGTGCCAGCACAGTGAGCAACACCACACACGCTCTTCTCTTACTTAGGTAGTGTCAGTGTGAAACAGTGTTCCATAGAGCCAGCCAGTCAGTCAGTCGGTCAGTTGGTCAGTCGGTCAGACAGTCAGTCGGTCAGACAGTCAGTCAGTCAGTCAGCCAGTCAGTCGGTCGGTCAGTCGGTCAGTCGGTCAGACAGTCAGTCAGTCAGTCAGTCAGCCAGTCAGTCGGTCGGTCAGTCAGTCGGTCGGTCAGTCGGTCGGTCGGTCGGTCGGTCGGTCGGTCGGTCGGTCGGTCGGTCGGTCGGTCGGTCGGTGGAAGTAGCAGACGGTCAGTCAGGCCCTAGTGTAGTGAAGCACATTGAGCTAACTACCAGAACACAGTGCTGCCCTGTCCCTGTCCCTGTCCCTGTCCCTGTCCCTGTCCCTGTCCCTGTCCCTGTCCCTGTCCCTGTCCCTGTCCCTGTCCCTGCCCCTGTCCCTGTCCCTGTCCCTGTCCCTGTCCCTGTCCCTGCCCCTGTCCCTGTCCCTGCCAGTCCTATCAGTCCAGTACTGCTGCTACTGGGGGAGCTAGACTGTGCTGTTCCAACCCGGCCTGGAACAAACAGATGGAAAGAGTGAAAGAAAGGGAGACAAGGGAAAGAGAGACCGAGAGAGGGGAAAGAGAGAGAAAAGAGAGAGAAGAGGGAGGGACAGAAGAAAAAGGGAACGGATGGAAAAGGAGAAAAAGAGAGGGCCTAAATGGCTTCCAGACGGCAGCATGACTGAACGAGTGTGAAACGTGACTGTGGGGAGTTGGAATGTGAGCAAGGGATTTGTCCCCGGGACTTTTCATCTGTTTTCTTCTTTCCATCTATGGCTGATGCTAGACTGTTCTGTTCTCCTCTTCTCTAGTCACCAAGTCATGAGTCTCCTCTTCTCTAGTCACCAAGTCATGAGTCTCCTCTTCTCTAGTCAACAAGTCATGAGTCTCCTCTTCTCTAGTCAACAAGTCATGAGTCTCCTCTTCTCTAGTCAACAAGTCATGAGTCTCCTCTTCTCTAGTCAACAAGTCATGAGTGTCCTCTTCTCTAGTCACCAAGTCATGAGTCTCCTCTTCTCTAGTCACCAAGTCATGAGTCTCCACTTCTCTAGTCACCAAGTCATGAGTCTCCTCTTCTCTAGTCACCAAGTCATGAGTCTCCACTTCTCTAGTCACCAAGTCATGAGTCTCCACTTCTCTAGTCACCAAGTCATGAGTCTCCACTTCTCTAGTCACCAAGTCATGAGTCTCCACTTCTCTAGTCTCCTCTCACAATAACATGCAATCTTACTGTGTTCATTTTGAGTTCAGTGTGTGTGTGTGTGTGTGTGTGTGTGTGTGTGTGTGTGTGTGTGTGCTTTAGGAACGTAATGTCCTGCTGAGCACACGGGTGGAAGTCATTCGCTTGATTGCCTCTGTAGCTCTGTAGACGCTTGCGAGTTCTCACTTTGGCAAATACACACACACACACACACACACACACACACGTGTCCGTTCACCTTGCCTTAAACACATCCACCCTCCTTCACTCTTTCACCTCTTCCTCTCTTCCTTGGCTGTTTTTCTATCCACGTCTTTATCCTCCCCCTGGTTCTTTCATTACATTTGTTTTCTCTCTCTTCCCTGTGATCTTCTCAGAACACACAGGGAACAAAGCACCTGATTGTGGGGACAGATTTCAGCGTGACACTCAAACAAAGCAAGACTGAACTGAGATGAAAGATGAGACTGTCAGGGGAGGGAGGGAGAGGGAGGGAAGGAGAGAGAACCTGACTGTTAGTGACTCATGACAGACAGGGCCATCTGACGGCCTCCTGATATGCCCTTGCTTTGTGTTTTCTCTGTGTCTGCTCCTCATTTCTGTGAAGCTCATCGTCTTCCTCTTCGTCTTCCTCTTGGCTGTTGACACTACTGCTGCAGTAGAGTTTCGCCCGCTTCTAGCACTATGACATCATCATGTTGTTTATCATGCAGGATGTGGTGGAGCTAGAGTTGATTGGTTATTCAGCATTAGCGTAGGTTCTAATGAAATAAAACATCATTGGATTATTCCGGATGTGGTTTACAATTCTAAAAGTTATCCGTATAATATTCCCAGATATGGTGTGTAACTCTGCCCCCTCCCCCTCTTCTCTTTTCCAGGACTCTCGGTGGCCTCTCCTCCTCCTCCTCCTCCTCCTCCTCCACTCTGGATCTGTCCGTGTCTCTCCCTCTCTCTCCCACCTTCACCAACCCTCCCAGCATATTCCCAGAGACCTGGTTACCCATGAAGACCAGCCAGGACTTCCTGCAGGTTCCGGTATCCCGTGACGACCGGAGCTATCGGACCGTCTACACCCTCTTCCACAAGACCGTGTCCGAAACCAAGTTCCGCATCCTGAAGATCCTCCGCGTCCAGAACCCCTTCCTCTGGGAGAAATACAAGCGGTGAGTTATCATACAGTTATTACACAGTTATTAAATGGGTATGTTGTTACACAGAAATTCACCTGGGTCCTCGTGGAGGTAAGGAGATAGTTGAGTTGGTAGCTACACAGTTATTAGCAGTTGTTAGTTTGTTATGACTGTCAGAATCAGAGCTCATGAGTTCCTGTGGATAGATGGCTGGTGTGCCTTGGCTGCTACACTGGTCCTGCTTTAGAACCCGACCTAGGGAAAGGCGGATGTCTGTCTGCTGTGGCGCTGAATGTGAATGTGCTGGAATGGGTCTGTTCCAGGCTAAACGGCTCTGATGCCAGAATGCATCAGAATGCTTTCAATTGGGGCCAAAGAGGTCATTGATGTTGTTGTGGATATTGGAGAGCAGTGTGATGGCTAACCTCCCACATTTGTTGGCGTTGTTTCAATATGACTGAATGCTGTGGGTGCTTTGTGCTGTACTAATGGTGAGAGCCAAGCTGTGTGTGTTCAGTGTGTGTGTGTTCAGTGTGTGTGTGTTCAGTGTGTGTGTTCAGTGTGTGTGTTCTGTGCGTTCTGTGTGTGTGTCTGAACACACAGCTGGGCTCTCACCATTAGTGTAACCCACTAGTGAAGGTGAGACCGTGAGAACCGTGGTTTAAAAGCACAGGAAGTGGGTCCTTGATTTTATTTTATTTTATACATCCCGTTGCCATAGATACGGCAGAAGGGAATAGAGCAGAGAGAGGATGAGTCAGGGGGATGGTGCTGTGTGTGTGTGTGTGTTTCCTACTTGGTAGAAGCAGTGAATCAAATAGCCTAGACTATAGACTTAAACCTTAACTGTTTCACTGTATCCTGTTCAAAAGTGTAAACATTCAATCACTACACTAAAGAGGTCATAATAACCCCCCCCCCCCCCCCCCCCCCCCCCCCCCCCTCCCTCCTCCTCTCCCCCTAACAGGAAGAAGGAGTACATGTCTCGTCGTCTCTCGGAGATGGACAGGATGCTGAGCGAGCGCCACCTGTTTCACGGCACATCCACTGAGGTGGTGGAGGGCATCTGCAAACACAACTTTGACCCGCGTGTCAGTGGCAAACACGCCACCATGTTCGGACAAGGCTCCTACTTCGCCCGCAAGGCCGTCTACTCCCACAACTTCTCCAAGCGCTCGCCTAAAGGGGTCCACTGCATGTTCCTGGCCAAAGTCCTCACTGGCAGGTTAGTAGCCTTTATGGGGATTGCTATGATGTATAGCATCATATGTCACACAGCACAGAAACACATCACTCTAGGAGAGAAATGTGGTTGAAGAAAAACCCTCCCTAACTTCAGTAGACCACTACTGGTCAGTCATCCATAATAGTTCCATTTGGTGAGCACTGGCAGAGCTTGATGTTGTTCCTCTCTCCTCTGTCTCTCCAGGTTTACAGTGGGGAACCCCTCCATGCGGCGGCCGCCCCCACTCAGCCCCCGGGACCCCTCCAGTGACCTGTACGACTCCTGTGTAGACAACTGGGTGGACCCTCAGATCTATGTTATCTTCAATGATGACCAGAGCTACCCCTACTTTATCATCCAGTACGAAGAGGTTCCCAGTACTGTGGCTATCTGACATTATAGCAGACAGAACCAAACCCAGTACTGTGGCTATCTGACATTATAGCAGACAGAACCAAACCCAGTACTGTGGCTATCTGACATTAGAGCAGACAGAACCAAACCCAGTTCTGTGGCTATCTGACATTATAGCAGACAGAACCAAACCCAGTACTGTGGCTATCTGACATTATAGCAGACAGAACCAAACCCAGTACTGTGGCTATCTGACATTATAGCAGACAGAACCAAACCCAGTAACGTGGCTATCTGACATTATAGCAGACAGAACCAAACCCAGTACTGTGGCTATCTGACATTAGAGCAGACAGAACCAAACCCAGTACTGTGGCGATCTGACATTATAGCAGACAGAACCAAACCCAGTAACGTGGCTATCTGACATTATAGCAGACAGAACCAAACCCAGTACTGTGGCTATCTGACATTATAGCAGACAGAACCAAACCCAGTTCTGTGGCGATCTGACATTATAGCAGACAGAACCAAACCCAGTACTGTGGCGATCTGACATTATAGCAGACAGAACCAAACCCAGTACTGTGGCTATATGAGAACAGACCGAACCAAACCAGAGCTACCCCATACTTCATCATCAGTATGAAGAGTTAACCAGTACTGTCAACATCTGAGACCTATTGGTTACTCCCATCATCCACAGCAGCTTCCGTCTGTATGCTGTTGGTTTGAAGCCCTTAAACTGGGGCAGTGGATGGCGTTTCATTTGGACCCAATGCTGTGTGAATGGATATTTGCCTTGGTGTTTGCCATTTTGGTTCCCCATCGGGACTGAACAGTGGACAGTGTCACTGAGACTCAATGCTGGAGTAACCACATAACGTTTCTGTTTAAAACCTGACCCCCTACGACCCCCATCTCTCTCTCTCTAAGACCACTCTCTCTCTCTGAGGGAAGATATGTTTGCCGAGATGATAAGCTGTACATACGTTCTCCTTGTTTATATTTGAACTGTGTGCCTTTTGTTCATAAATGTTTATTTATGTTTGTTAATGTAACATTGAGTAAATAAAGAATCTTAAAGAGAAAATCATAGCGCTGTCCAGGGTGATTTATTGCGAAGTTTTATATCTCATTGGCAGTTGAGTACACTCTTTCTATAGCCTCCGCAACCACTGGTCCTGTTTTATAGGCCTACTGTAGCCTATATGCAGCCAAGACAGAAAGATAAACGCGGTCAGAGACCCACTAAAGCAGCACCGCCCCCTCAAGAGTCTGAGCCTGCCTGGCAGGGTTGGGTCCAACAAAGCCAGAGCCCCCTGATGGGAGAGCATAATATACAAGGAATTTCTCAAAGCTGCTAATGAGAACCTTGACGACCTTGTACCTAGCTGGTGGGAATTTTGGTGGGGTGCCCCCACCCAGGTAGTGGCAGTGCTGGCAACACTAGCTGCAGTAACCCATGGGGATGGGGTCACACTCTGACATTCAGAGAGGGGGCAAATTATTGTGGCCCTGGTGGCACAAAATAATCAAATGGTCACAACGGGGGACCAGGGTGTGTGTGTTTCAGGGTAGGGGGGGGGGGGGGTGTATCTGAGATCCATCAGTTAGGACTTGACATGGGTTAATCAGATCTCTCCAATCTTGCTCAATTTTGCATGCCTTCTCAAACCGCTACAACTGTATATGTATTCGCACATCACGGCTTCTCTTGAGTTGGGCTCGGGGATGGAACAACTGCTGAACATCTGAGCTTGTGGTTGTTTTTTGAGGAAGGGTGGGGAGTGTATATTAGTGTGTGTATCCCACATCTGTTGCTATGGGGAAATGATGTTAGGGACAATACAGGATGAATCACAATAATTGCTTGCCAAAAATATAATTTTTGTAATGCCAGTCCTGGTTATAGGTAACAATCCTTTGTATGAACTGCCTACATTATTACACATATTACTTGTTAATTGTGGAAATAAATTAAGATATGCAAGATTATTATATATATATACACTACCAGTCAAAAGTTTTAGAACATCTACTCATTCAAGGGTTTTTCTTTATTTTGACTATTTTCCACATTGTAGAATACTAGTGAAGACATCAAAGCTATGAAAAAATATATTTTATATTTGAGATTCTTCAAATAGCCACCCTTTGCCTTTGACAGCTTTGCACACTCTTGGCATTCTCTCAACCAGCTTCATGAGGTAGTCACCTGGAATGCATTTAAATTAACAGGTGTGGCTTCTTAAAAGTTAATTTGTGGAATTTCTTTCATTCTTAATGCGTTTGAGCCAATCAGTTGTGTTGTGACAAGGTAGCGGGAGTATACAGAAGATAGCCCTATTTGGTAAAAGACCAAGTCCATATTATGACAAGAACAGCTCAAATAAGCAAAGAGAAATGACAGTCCATTACTTTAAGACATGAAGGTCAGTCAATACGGAACATTTCAAGACCTTTGAAAGTTCATTAGAGTTACAAGCCTCAGAAATTGCAGCCCAAATAAATGCTTCACATAGTTCAAGTAACAGACATCTCAACATCAACTGTTCAGAGGAGACTGTGTGAATCAGGCCTTCATGGTCAAATTGCTGCAAAGAAACCACTACTAAAGGACACCAATAATAAGAAGAGACTTGCTTGGGACAAGAAACACAAGCAATGGACATTAGACCGGTGGAAATGTGTCTTTGGTCTGGAGTCCAAATTTGAGATTTTTGGTTCCAACAGCCGTGTCTTTGTGAGACGCAGAGTAGGTGAACGGATGATCTCCGCATGTGTATTTCCCACCGTAAAGCATGGAGGAGGAGATGTGGGGGTGCTTTGCTGGTGACACTGATTTATTTAGAATTCAAGGCACACTTACCCACATGGCTACCACACCATTCTTCGATACGCCATCCCATCTGGTTTGGGCTTAGTGGGACTATCATTTGTTTTTCAACAGGACAATGACCCAACACACCTCCAGGCTGTGTAAGGGCTATTTGACCAAGAAGGAGAGTGATGGAGTGCTGCATCAGATGACCTGGCCTCCACAATCCCCTGACCTCAACCAAATTGAGATGGTTTGGAATGAGTCGGACCGCAGAGTGAAGGAAAAGCAGCCAACAAGTGCTCAGCATATGTGGGAACTCCTTCAAGACTGTTGGAAAAGCATTCCAGGTGAAGCTGGTTGAGAGAATGCCAAGAGCGTGCAAAGCTGTCATCAAGGCAAATTTGAAGAATCTCAAATATAAAATATATTTGGATTTGTTTAACACCTGATTTGGTTCCTACATGATTCCTTATGGGTTATTTCATAGCTTTGATGTCTTCACTAGTATTCTACAATGTGGAAAATAGTCAAAATAAAGAAAAACCCTTGAATGAGTAGGTGTTCTAACATTTTTGACCGGTATATATCTTTTTAAATAACTATACAATACAATCGAGGTGAGTGCGTTGGAAATGCTTTGAGGCAGTTAATCTGCTTCTGTTCTCGGGGTGGCACTCTATGCTCTTTTTAAAGGATGGGTCCCAATCGCTCAAAGGTCCTAGGATACAGGCGGACAGAGGTGGTCTGGTCACTGGGACGACAATCCAATATACTTCTCAAAGAAACTCAAAAGGGGTGATGATATTTATTAACAATTTTGATGCAAATTGTTCAAACCAATCAGCAAGATAGATGGATTCTTTTAAATATGTTATTGGACCATAAACATATTTGGCTCATTAATCTATAAGGTCCAAATGATGATTCATGCTTCTTTTAAAATATATATAATAATTAATCAAACCTACAAGCAATACAAGACACTATTGTTATGGTGGGGAGATAATAATATGGTTTTAAATACCTCAGTGGACCGTAAAGGAAATCGCACTACAAACGATCACCCTTATGCACTTAAGGAAATCACGAATATCATGGATATATTGGAACTAGTGGATATATGGAGGCTTGAATATCCTGACCTAGTGAGATATACAGTTAATTCGGAAAGTATTCAGATCCCTTCCCTTTTCCCACATTTTGTTACGTTACAGCCTTATTCTAAAATGGATTAAATAAAAAAAACTTCCCTCATCAATCTACACGCAATACCCAATAATGACAAAATGAAAACAGGTTTTTAGACATTTTTGCTAATTTACAAAAAATCAAAAACAGAAATACCTTATTTACATAAGTATTCAGACCCTTTGCTTTGAGACTCGAAATTGAGCTCAGGTGCATCCTGTTTCATTTACGTTGACATTTACGTCATTTAGCAGATGCTCTTATCCAGAGCGACTTACAAATAGGTGCATTCACCTTATAGCCAGTGGGATCACCACTTTACAATGTTTTTGTTTTTGGGTTGGGGTAAGGGGGGGGGGGGTGTAGAAGGATTACTTTATCCTATCCCAGGTATTCCTTAAAGAGGTAGGGTTTCAAATGTCTCCGGAAGGTGGTGAGTGACTCCGCTGTCCTGGCGTCGTGAGGGAGCTTGTTCCACCATTGGGGTGCCAGAGCAGTGAACAGTTTTGACTGGGCTGAGCGGGAACTATGCTTCCGCAGAGGAAGGGGAGCCAGCAGGCCAGAGGTGGATGAACGCAATGCCCTCGTTTGGGTGTAGGGACTGATCAGAGCCTGAAGGTACGGAGGTGCCGTTCCCCTCAAAGCTCCGTAGGCAAGCACCATGGTCTTGTAGCAGATGCGAGCTTCAACTGGAAGCCAGTGGAGTGTGCGGAGGAGCGGGGTGACGTGAGAGAACTTGGGAAGGTTGAACACCAGACGGGCTGCGGCATTCTGGATGAGTTGTAGGGGTTTAATGGCACAGGCAGGGAGCCCAGCCAACAGCGAGTTGCAGTAATCCAGACGGGAGATGACAAGTGCCTGGATTAGGACCTGTGCCGCTTCCTGTGTAAGGCAGGGTCGTACTCTCCGAATGTTGTAGAGCATGAACCTACAGGATCGGGTCACCGCCTTGATGTTAGCGGAGAACAACAGGGTGTTGTCCAGGGTCACGCCAAGGCTCTTCGCACTCTGGGAGGAGGACACAGCGGAGTTGTCAACCGTGATGGCGAGATCATGGAACAGGCAGTTCTTCCCCGGGAGGAAGAGCAGCTCCGT